ATATGCTTTTATACCATGCTCCAACGTGGTCCAGCGTTCTCGTAACTTGAGTCATCTTCCATACGTCTTTTGTGTTTCTTTGCTGACTATATGAGCTGAACCCCCCTTCGACTAAAGCCATCTTAAATCTACCTCGTCAAAGCCGTCTCCAGCTAAGCCTTGGTCCACTGCCAAATGGCGTTCTATCCGGAACGGCTTACACGGACCTATCCGAGGCAATAACCCTAAATATCCTCAGAATATAGGGCCGGTGATAAGTACCGGGACACTGGGAAATATGGATGGGTTGGTATATCTGTAGCACCTGTACGCTCACACAAGGGGCTAACATGGCTGCCACTAACTGAGTTGAGGCTTCTTGGTTGTCCGACAACCTTCATCTATCAATATTTGCTAGCTTAGGTAAAATCACGTCGGTGCATACATAATCCCAAACATTTTTCTTCTCGTATTTTGACTGCCACCTGAATCTGTTATTAAAGCTATTTCCGTTTGCTTTTCATCAATCATAATCTCTCTCCTTCACCTTCTCAACCTCCGAGCCACATCCAGAGCTCGGCTACATTTCATCAACTTGCACAAGAAATATCAACTACAGTCTCTCTTTTCCGCTTTTTCTCATTGAGAGAAAGCCATCAGGCATCAAAATGCCCGATCCAACCAAGAATGACGCGGTTGGGGGGTATGTAGCCACACAATGACCACCACTCTATCCCAAGCTCTGGTACTGACACATCAACTAGAATGACCGAGAATGTCACTGGGGAGTAAGTCGCGTAGCACGAATCTGTGTCGATTGAGGTGTCTATTCTCTTTAACTTCAGGTCAAACTGATATGCAATAGGATCAAAAACCCCCTCGTCGGAATCCCCACCGAGCAGCTTATGGCGAATGTGACGGCCTATGCTACCGAATATGACCTTGAGAGTATCCTGCCCCTCTTGAAGAAAGGCGCTCTGGTAGCTCAGTGGCCATCGGGGGTTGGAGAAATCTCCGAGCTCAATGATGATGACCGCCGTGTTCTTTACGAGGAGCACACTCGGCGATGGAAGCACCCGTTCGCATTGTACTACACCGTCATCCTAAACTCGATCTCCGCAGCTATTCAGGGCTGGGATCAGACTGGTCAGAATGATATCCTGTTCAAGTATTTAAGCTCAGTCTTGGCTAATGCTTCTCATAGGTTCCAACGGTGCTAACCTGACTTTCGATGTCCAATTTGGTATCCCAAATAACTCGCCTCATTGTCCTGACCCGGAGACTTGCAAGCGTAACCAGTGGATTGTCGGTTTTATCAATGCGTCCCCATACATTACCATCTGCCTATTGTGAGTAATATGCCTGTTCTACATTCAAGCAATCTTCTAACTTATATCTCACTCTACAGTGTTGCTTGGCTCTCTGATCCCCTGAACCATATTCTCGGCCGTCGTGGTACAATTTTCCTGGCCGCAATCTTCAGCCTCCTAGCCCCCCTGGGCTCCGCTTTTACTCAGCATTGGGGTCAGCTTGTTGCCTGCCGTGTTCTTCTCGGACTTGGCATGGGTCTCAAGGAAGTCACTGTTCCTGTTTACTCGGCTGGTAGGTTCTTTTGGTTTATATATTCCAGTCGTGAATATTATACTAAGGCTAAACTTCATCCAACAGAAAACGCACCCACAAACATTCGTGGCGGCCTGGTTATGTCCTGGCAGCTTTGGACGGCCTTTGGTATCTTCCTCGGAACATGCGCAAACCTCATTGTCGCCAACACTGGTGATATTGCTTGGCGACTACAGCTAGGTTCTGCATTCATCCCAGCGGTGCCATTGCTTCTTGGTATCTGGTTTTGTCCCGAATCTCCACGATGGCTGATGACCAAGAAAAACCACAAGAAAGCTTTTGCGTCTCTTCTCAGACTACGGAATAGCCCTTTGCAGGCTGCTAGGGATTTGTATCGGATCCATGCCCAGCTGGAGATGGAGAAGCAGTTGATTACCGAGTCAGGATTCTCCAAGAGCGACAACATGTTCGTGCGTTTTGTCGAATTATTCACGGTGCCCCGTCTACGTCGTGCCGTCCAAGCTTCTGGCATTGTGATGATCGCCCAGCAGATGTGCGGAAGTAAGTACAAAACCCGAAACAGGGAATGAATTGAACTGACTATCCTCGCTTTCTAGTCAATATCATCTCGTTCTACTCCTCGACTATCTTTCAACTGGCCGGTGCTTCCAACATCGAAGCACTTCTTGCATCATTCGGATTTGGTCTTATCAATTTTGTGTTCGCGTGGCCCGCCGTATGGACAATCGATACATTTGGCAGACGTGGTTTGCTACTTTTCACCTTCCCACAGATGTGCTGGACGCTTCTCGCAGCTGGGTTCTGTTTCTGGATTCCCTCAACCAGTAATGCGCACATTGGACTGATCGCATTCTTCGTCTACCTCTTCGATGCATTTTATTCTCCCGGAGAGGGACCTGTTCCATTCACCTACTCTGCCGAGGTGTTTCCGTTGTCCCACCGTGAAGTTGGAATGGCCTGGGCTGTTGCAACAAACAACTTCTGGGCTGCTGTTCTCTCACTGACGTTCCCATGGATGTTGCGAGCCTTCACTCCGCAGGGTGCCTTTGGATTCTATGCCGGCTTGAATCTTGTTGCATTTGCCCTGATATTCTTCTTTATGCCAGAAACCATGCAGCGCTCCCTTGAGGAATTGGACTATGTGTTTGGCGTCCCGACTCGAACTCACGCCAAATACCACCTCACCCAGGTTCTCCCGTGGTGGATTAAAAGGTATGTCCTCATGCGCAAGGATGCGGTCTGCCCCGAACTTTACCGGGCCACCCAAGATTACGCCACAGCTCCTGTTCCAGAGGTGAAGGCCGAGAAGGAGGAACGTCACGCCGAACATGTGTGATCGCAGCTCAAGATGCAAATGATCTACAAGATCAGTGCTGCTTTTCTCGTGGTCGTACGCGTATGGGATCTTATTGCTCGTGGATTTCAGATAGGGAGTTTCGCCCAATTAGGGCTCAACTATGACCATCTTTACCTCTTTATCGTCAGTTGCTTTAACTGCTTTAGCTTACTTCAATCAATTTTACTCAAACCTCCCGAGGTCTTCCACCCCAATTATATGTAGTACTGGCTTGGCCCCAACTAATAATGTCCTGCCCATATTCTTTTCTTCGTCTCATCGCAAGCAAAACTCCGCGTTCTCGCAAAATATTCAACCTCCACATCCCTTGTTATGTGAAGCCAAACTCCTCTGCTCGCCGTACAGGTATTACAAAAGTGGGCATTGATAAAGTCGAGGTTTCTGTGGCTGCTGTTCCACGCGACGGGGCAGCTAATATTGCAGTGTCGCACATCTTCGCAGAGGTGGGAATTGCCCCTGATGTGTTTTCTTGCTTCCCGACTTGTCCGTGAAAGTCACAAAATTCATCTCACAATTTGCTAGATCTTCAAAGTTCCAAAATCGAGCGTGGAAGTGATTCGTGGCGCGAAATCACGAGAAAAAACCGTGTGTGTGGCCGATCTGGAGATCGGAGACGACGGCGAAGAAGCATACTTGCAGCGTGCGACACAAAGATTAGAGGCCGCTGTCAAGACACGAGATTCCTAGCGTGGAATTTGAATTTATAGAGGCTGTCAATTCCTACTCGCTGGCTCATACTTTTAATACGACTCAATTATTGTTTGATCTTGATCCCGTGACGCAAAATCCCGTCACTGTTTTTTTTGGAGCTCCGGCCGAACATCAACCTCCGCCTACCCCGAACAGTTCAGAAAACCAGCCAGGATGACAGAGGATAAACAGGGCGATATGGAAATTGACGCAAGTGTCGCTTTAACGGAACCTGTCAAGCGCAAAGCGCCGGAGCCAAAGCCAAAGACTCTCCATTTCACGTCGCGCAATCCACCCTGGACATACCTCAAGCTCAAGCTGTAAGCTATCCATCCGCCTTTCTTCGTTCACGTTTAGGCAGGAAATTCCCGTCAGAAACCAAGCTAACCTTGAAATGCTTAGTGTACCCCAACCAGGAAGCGCACCACAACCCCTCGACCCCCTCTCCGCACGAACCTACCTATCCTCCGCATTATCGCAATTCCTCGGCCTGACAGGAACAGCCATCCCGATCGACATTTTGAAAATCGAGAATGCATCTTCCTCTGCCACGAAGTACGATATTGTGTGGATTCGCGTTCCTCGCGAGGATGCCTCGGCCGTCGTGAGCGCAGTGAGCTCATGGATCGGCGGCGGAAATAATTCGGCAGGCTCTGCGGATGTTGCATGGAGGGTTTGCGCCAAAGGAAACTTCCTAGGTGCCCTGATTGCTGGCTCCGGCGCCGATTTGTTCGTCCCCTAGGCTTGTGGGTTGTACTCCTACTTCAAAGCGAGTACTATGGGAAATAATTACCGAACTGTGGCTACTCCATATATTTGGCTGTTTGTCAAATGTTGCCCTTGGATCATGGTGAAATCCATGCGGCTTCGGTTGCAATTCGCGGGTGCTATGCATACTGCGTGGCACTAGTGGCGTGACGTGAATGGGGCTGCAGGGCTGCAGCAGTGCCCCCTTACGATACATGCGACGATGATGCCAGCTCCAAATGGCACGATATTGACTTAGTCTGATACCGTGAGCTTGGCAACAATCGAGTGCCTGAGACTGAGCACAAGGCTCCGTGGGATGGAATGAGACACAGACACTTGACCTAAATCGGCGACGGAATGCACATAGCACTTCTGGCAACTTCGTATGCAATCAAGAAGAAAAGGATTCGATTTTGGAGCCAATATCAACCTATGTACGCAACTGCAAGACCAAGAACTCCTTTTTTTATTTCGATTCGGAGTCGACATGACTCAAATGAAACGCCATAACTCACACGCTGCTGAATATACCACAAACAATTTGATGCCGCTGATTTAAATGCACGATTGATTCTCACCCCTTAAGAAGATGACTTCTTGTATCTCTCCCTAGTTGTTGGCGACTTATTTGCAAGGAAGATTAGACTGACCCAGGGGACTTGGGGCAGATGTTTTCCACAATTGTAGATGTATCTGACGTCGAAGTTGATGGGCTGACAACCACCTTGGTTCTAAGTGCACCGCGAATATCCTCGACGGTCCGCTCTTTCCAGTCAGGGTATCCCAACTGGCTAAGAGGGAATAGAACAAGGTTTTCAGCGCGTGACATGAAGTCATCAACCGTTGGTCGGGGAGCGGCAGTCATAACATCCATTTCCAAGGCGATCTGTCGGCAGTAGGTGTCCAGTGGAAGATCGTTGACATCCTGACCGAATGGGTTCTCAATTTCGCTGCCGATTGTAGCCAAGCCGAGGATGATATAGGCAGCCACTTCGGGGTCCGTTAGCATTGCTTTACTTGTGTAAGTGGGATAATCCAGTGGTTCTTACCAATTGATGCTGGGATAGTGATCCATTCCAAGACATTGTAGAGCTGGAATGGAAGTACCAGGATGTAGATCCATGAAATCTGGGCAATGGCAATGCTGTATGCGGTAGGTAAGGGGGTGTCGAGGACACGTTCTGTGCCTGTCAAAACCTCATTTAAGGTGGACATCATGGTAACTTTTGTTGGGTCAGAGTTGGAGCATCACAAGATAGGGGGTGGAGGACTCACTAGCTTGTCCCTGGTGCAGAGTTGAAGCCATTGTACCATTGGCTACAACTGAATCGATGTATGCGGAGATATGGTTAAGGATCTCCAGGGGCAAATGGCCAAGAGGCTTCTTGGACCGCTTGACATACTTCCGAGGGTTTGACTCGGCGAAGGACACACCGAGGTACTCTCCTGCGGACTTCCAAATAGATTTAGGCGGAGGATTGACAACCATGCGGTCGTGGGCATCACGGGCAAAAGTGTCAAGGTGTCCAGCTAGACCAGCTAGATCTTCGTATGCGATATCGGGTTCGAAGCGGAGCTTGTGCTTGAGGGCGACAGCGAAGGCCAAAATGAGGTTCATCGCAGAGCTATACAGAGCTTATTAGAATCAATGATACCAAAATGTAATAGTCTGTGGGTTATCGCATACAGTTTTCTCAAGATGTCCTCTTTTCCATCTTCACCTTCTCTCTCGCCGGTATTGATCCAAATTGTACGTGAGAGGTTGCGAGACGTCTGAATGAGCTGGGCCCAATATTTGCGCCCATCTGCCCATCTGTAGTGCATGCAAGATTAGTGTATGGTTTGAGTCGAAGCTAGAAACGAGGCAGTAGTATACCTTTCATATGCAGTTGAGCTGCGGAATGACAAAGCCAAACCCACCACGAAACCCAGCACGGTGAGCAGGATGTTGTTGATACCAACTTGTGCGAGGTAGAATGTAAGTATTTCCAAGCTATTCATTGTTCCATGATTTGGGGATTACTCACGATTATGGACCTTTTTCGAAAAGACAGTGATAGCGGTCGACCAAATAGCGACAGACAAAAGCGGCATGATCATTTTCGGCATGACACTACCGTGCATTCGCATCATGATAGGCCATTTGGAGTGCTTTTCCATGTTCCGGGGGCCATGCTAGACAAAGAATACGTTAGTCTGGCAATCTATTATCCCATTCCATGTTCATGTCCTTCTGTTCGTCTATATAAAGCATCTCTCAATCCCATCGACTTACAAAGTATCGCTCTAATTCACTCGAATCCCGGCGATCAAGCTGGAATTGCGAATCCCGCGAGGTAGCGAGATGTTCCAAGAACGTAGGCCGAGGCGTCACACGTCCAATGGAGCCATGATCCTTCTCATGGTGCGTTGCCGTTTGATGAGGGGTGGCATGGGAGCGTGCCTCGGCGGGGACTGGTGCAGCAGCGCAGTCTGCCGCTGCTGCTGGTGCCGGGGCATCGGCTGGAGGGGCACTATGGCCGTCTGTCATGGTGAGACAACAAAAGTCAGAAAGGAAAGGGTAAAACGAAGGTGAGTGAAGCCGGAACAAGGCCTGTTCGGATTTCAATAAGTTTGATAAGAAGGAATAGCGACAGTTGAATATTAAAGAGCGTAAGCAGAAGAAAAGGGAAAAAAAGTAGGGGAAAGGTGAAACGATGGCGTTCGCTTGACAGGGGCCGTTTCATCGTGATCTAGACTAAGGTGGAGTCGACGGACACGTCCGCATGTTTAATTTTAGCCCTTCAGGGGGAAGTTTTGAATTGGAATTCTATTGGCCTATGCCAATTTCATGGGGAATGGCTCGTCCGGATGGTTAGGCTAGGACCAATACCCCAGCTCATAGATTCAAGCCTCAAAGTATAGAACGTTTCAGTTTGCCAGTCACTAGACCTGTCCAAATGAAAAAAAAAAAGCCCCGTAAAGAACGGATAAAACTTGAAACAGAGACGTTAAATGTCTACTCGTTCTAACTCTATATTCTATGAAAAGTGAAGTAGAATTAAGTTTTAAGCATCGAGTAGTTCCTAATCATTAAGCCGTCTATAATTATACACGGCGTACTCCGTTCTTTATAGTACGTTGTATATTAATCCCTCGGGGGCTGAGGGCTTGGACGCACTAAGCCTAAAGGGGCAAAAGGATCCGGGTTCGTATTGCCCCTGCTTTTTTCCCCGTGGGCTTTTTCCACGTTGCAGGGTCATCGTGGCAAAATGGAAAAGTCAATGGAAACCTTCCTCAATCTAGATGAGATTGAAGATGCTGCCACTAAAATAGTGAGCAAAAAGGCATGGGCCTATTATTACTCGGCATGCGATGACAAGATCAGCAAGTACAAAAATACCGAGGTCTTCCGCTCCATCCAATTAAGACCAAAGGTCTTTGTCGACTGCAAAGAATGTGATTTAAACACAAAATTGCTAGACAACGATGTGTCTATCCCAATTTATGTTTCCCCGGCAGCTATGGCCCGACTAGGGCATCCCTCTGGGGAAGCTGGAATCGCAGAGGCATGTCGCAGCTTCGGTGCTTTGCAGATCATTTCGAACAGTGCCTCCATGACACCTGAACAGATTGTTGCGGGCGCCGCCCCAGGCCAGACATTTGGCTGGCAACTATATGTGCAGAACGATCGAACCAAGAGTGAACGAATGCTGGCCCGAATCAATAAATTGAGTGCCATCAAATTTATTACTCTGACACTGGATTCCCCCGTGACCGGAAAAAGAGAGGATGACGAACGCAGCGGTAACGTCATCAGTTCGGAGGCTCCGTATCAGACTGACAAAAATGACTCGGGGCCAATCCTCCCGGCTGGAGACCCAGTATTCAAGGGAATGGATCCTTCTCTTACTTGGACGGAGACCCTCGCGTGGTTGGCAAAGCACACCGATCTTCCAGTTGTTCTCAAGGGCATCCAAACACATGAAGATGCGTATATTGCCAGCCTATATACGCCCCAAGTCAAAGGAATCATCCTTTCAAACCACGGCGGTCGGTCTCTTGACACGGCTCCTCCGGCTGTCCACACTCTGCTTGAAATCCGGAAATACTGCCCCGAAGTCTTCGACAAGATTGAGGTCTGGGTTGATGGCGGGATCAAGAGGGGAACCGATGTGGTCAAGGCTCTTTGTTTGGGTGCACGAGGCGTTGGAATAGGAAGAGGTGCGCTCTGGGGCTTGGCAGCTGGAGGAGTGGACGGCGTAAAGAGAACATTGCAAAGTATGATCAACGAAACTTGGGGTTTTCTGCGAAGCGATTTACTGACAGAGCTTAGTATTGACTGACGAGACCAAAACATGCATGCGACTTCTCGGGGTGAAGAGTGTTGATGAGCTCGGAACGCAACACGTACGTCTGCATATGTGCCCCGGCTGTTTGTTTTGGAACCTTCGATTGCAGGTGCTGACTGATATGTTCCAGATAAACACTCGACAGGTAGAGAAAGAGATCTACGATGGGCCGTCTGGCCTCGAAGCCTGTCGGGCAAACTTCCGGGCAAAATTGTAGAGGATCAAGGAATACTTTGAATTGCTGCAGGGAAATATCGACAGCGAAATAAAGACCTATATTGTTATTAGGTGGTTTGAGCCATCTCTACGTAGATTCGTCTCAGCATTAAGCCTGCCTCTAGGACTTCTCCGTCTCTCTTCTGTGCAGTCACAGTCTTGGAATTAAGGACCATGAGATGGTGAGGCCTTGTCGCTCTTCTCAAATTCCATATTCTATACGAGCACTTTCAACTTCCTCTCACTTCGTCCCTTCTTTTCGCCTTGCCTCATCCCCTTGTCATCTCATTTCTCATTTCGTCTTACCATCTCACTTGACTCGCCTGGTTTCGTCGTTTTTACTTGCTCGCACCTTTCGTCGACCTCTATTTCTGCAGTCTCGCCTCGGACCTCAGCTTGTCTGGACGGTATCCCATCATGTCTTCACAACTTCTGACCGACCTCCCCCTCGAAATGTTCTTGCTTGTTGTCGAGAATCTTGAGTGCGAGAAAGACATCAATGCTCTATCGCAAGTGAACCTTGGTCTTTACGCCCTCCTCAACCCATACCTCTACCGCATAAATGCCGAAAGCCATTGTAGGCCTGCCATTTCCTGGGGCGCTTTTTACGGCCAAGAAGCCACCGTTCGGAAAGCCCTGGAGCAGGGCGCCTCGGCAAAGTTTCCTTTGGATAAATGCTCACCAGCGCCAATGACCCTTGCAGCACTCGGTGGTCATGCACATATTGTCAGGCTTCTGCTTGACCATGGAGTCGAGCCGATGTCCTTGTGGAGAATTGATACCTTTGGCAGAAACTTTACCCACTTGATCACAGTGGAGGATTGGTGGTCTATTAAGTTACCTGAGTTATACCCAGCCCGAGACTGGGCCCCTTGGACAGCGGCTCTCACCAAAAACCATGCGGATGTGCTACAAGTCTTGATTGAGCATGATGGATTCGTGCCGCGCGACTGGGATTTCGTCAACACCGCCATAGAGGGTCGCTTTGAGACCCTTAAAGTTCTCGTGAGAGCCTGTCCTGAATGGGCAGATCTTGTTGGACCCGAGTACAACTCTGTATTTGGAATAGCGATTGATGCATCACCGAATAACCTCGATATCGCGCGCTTTCTCATCGATTCCGGATCCCCAGTCAACTACATATGTGACAATCAGCACACCCCGTTGGCCTACGCCGCATATTCCGGCAACATTGAGACAGTTAAGCTCTTGCTGAACCGTGGCGCTGATCCCGACCCTGAGACCCCACTGTGGCCGCTAAAAAATGCTGCAGAACGAGGACATGTTGAGATTGCAGAACTGTTGTTGGAGAAGATGAACATCCGCGGCAAAATTACTTATCATGGAGATGACCAGTTCTGGCTACTTTACTCGGTGGCGGCCTGTGGCTTTGAGAATATCGTGCGAGCTTGCCTTGATGCTGGGTGCAATACAAATGGTAGGCTGTACGTTCCCTATTGTTCTTTCCACGTGGATGATACCTACCGAGCATCTGACGGTGGGTATAATTTGACGCCGCTGGACTGGGCCCGGGGGAGAGGGCACTCTGCGATTGTGCGTCTACTGGAGAATAATGCAAGCCTGCCATGGGAGCCATGCTCTCATCTTTATTTTGAATCAAAGGAAATTTGGCTGTATCCATGAATGTTATGTATGTACGTAGGTGTGAATTGTAAATATTGTAAATGTCACATGTATTATCTAGAACAAAAGAGCACTGTCCAGGCTGGAGAATCCTGCGGCTACGCCGCCTTCATTCACCTCTTTGCCCTTAGTCCTCAACAGATACCCACCTTGTTCATTGTGCAAAATCTTCCCAGTATTCTCCCATAGAATGGTTCCATAGACACCAAGCTCTGAGATGACGTCTCCTCGAAGGACCTCGCCGTCATTCCGCAAGGCAACATTCTGGGCATTGGCTGCAGGGTTGATGAGTTCCATAAGCACCCAGCCTCTCCAATCAGATTCTGGAATGGATCGCAAAAAGCCTGGAATGTCGGACTTGTAGACATTGTTGCCACCTCCTTCACGCTGTGGTTTGAGCACATGGTTCAGAGCAGTATCGGGATTGAGGGCTAGCTCGCGACCTTGACTGTTAATCGACAGGTCATATTGTGGAGCGAACGTATCCCGGACTCTTTCAACAAGGGTAGTGTCAATGCCTTTCAAGAAGCTTGAGAGGTGATCTGGTCCTGCTGGCTCTGCTAAAACTTGCTGGACTTTCTTGCAGCCTGATAGCTGGTTGAGCACCGTAGGGCACTTGATCGCCGCCGAGCGCTCCAGATGAGTTCGGGCTTGCCAATCACGGCTAGATTTGTACTCATCTGGTGAGTAGTAAGCTCGAAGATAAACAGTTGTTACCTCAAATGTCGAGTCGGGAGAATGAGGGGGCTGGTATAACAATGGTCGTGCGGAGTTTGAGCTGGGAATGGATGTCTGATCCAAGATATCCACGCTGGCCACACGGAAGACTGGGATGTTGTGAACTGTCTGGAGCCGTCTCGAGAGTGCATGCTGATCAAAAACATTCCGTTCTGTCTCCTGGACTACAAAGAGAACACAGAGAGGGAGGGCCGGGGTGGACTTGGATACCCCGTAGGCCTCATGTGCTGCTGCCAATCCTGCTGAGAGGGTCTCCACTGCGGTGTTTTCCGGTGGAACCTGGGATTGTAGCAGAGGGTGAGGCGGATAGTTGATTGATGAACCCGGTGGCGAGGAAAGAAGCTCGGTGTGCATTTGTCGCACAAGAGCTGAAAGTCCTCCAAACGATGACGAGATTGTGTTAAACTCAACTTGCTTTAGGGCTGAGACACCTGTAGGCAGAACATGGGCCATGTAATCGGACCGGAAGAGGCCCAGTGACAGGTTTTGAACATATCCCTCCTTCTGTACGTCGAGATGAACCTTCCACAAGTTGGAGACAAAGTCATCAACTTCAATGAGCCTGAAAGTGACTGATAATTAGCACTTGCACCGTGTCAGAGCAGATATGTCCCTACCCTTCCACGATCTTCCCTAGCCATTCTTCATTGCATGTGATCATAGCATAGAGTTCGTTGTAGATCTCTTGGAGAGCAGTCGCTTCCTCGAAGCAAGTTCTGGGAAACGGACTGGGGAATAGTGTCACTGGCGCATTTGTAGCCAGTACCCCATTTGAATCTGCCCCAGCTGGGATAATTGCTGGGGATGGTCGAACAGCAAGACCATTTTGAATAGCCCAGTCTTTCACAAATGTGACAAGAAATTTTTGTTGAGCTGGGGACAGGTCTGGCGGATAGTTTGAATAGATTGATTCTGCCATACTGAAGAAGATTTGATTTACTAGTACACTCAATCCGAAGTTGCGTAGTCGCAAAGATTCTGACCTCGAGGGCTCCGGGGCCTGGGGATTTGTAATTGGCGGGGCAGCTATCGACACCTGAGGCAGTGACATCTTACCAGACACAAATATTTTTAACAATAATAGTGCATCACACATCAAAGGTTATACATAGAAAAGTGCTTTTATTTCCGCATTCTTCTGCTGTCTATCTATACAACTAATAAGGGGGAGAAAATCTCTTAGACATCTATGTAAACAGAATATCTGATACTACTAAAAAGACATCACAAGGCCGCATATGCGTCCTTTCACTCTTATATTCTTATACCCACACACATATATGCCATACCAAAACCAAAAAGAAAATTAACCTCATTATTAATGAGGCAAAAAGATCTGGACTTGCAGGGAATCGAACCCTGGACCACTCCCATGCTAAGGGAGTATTATACCACTAAACCACAAGCCCAGTTGATTGGTTGATTGTGGAGAATCATGCATAATAGCCAAAAGAAATTTTGGTAGTCAGGTCTGCCCTTAATAGCCGACCAAACTCGGTTCGACCTGCATAAATGAGATAGTTTAGCTTATTTGTGGTTGCTCTAATGCTCTGCTCGTGATTTCAAAATAAAAAAGCAACTGTAACTTTATATTGGATATGTATTTATTGGGATTCCAAGGTTGTCTACTGATATATATATATAACCCTGAGTGGTTCCCACGGGAAGGTTCCAGTTTGTATACCAAGACCTGTATCAATTGAGCCAATGTGTTGTCGAATAGAAAGGAACTATATAATGTACTATAAACCGCGGTGAGAGCTCCAAGCCAGGCACCTTGACCTTAGTACACAACTAAACTCCCCGTACATTCTATAGATAGATAAGAAACGCCAAGACCTTAGCTTATCGATGCCGGAACCTTGGAATGATCTACGGCAGGGACATGACGATGAGACTTGACATTTTTTTGTCCGCCACTCGACCCCAATTGAGATTTAAATGCAGTACCCCCTTTCAATGGAAACTCTTACCATATAGATTTGACCAAGAATCCACCAGCGTAGACCTTCTCAATTCGTCCAGATACCCCATCGGATTCTCGGCGTTTCACTGTCGACACCAGCCCCCGATTGGTCAATATCACCGAAACAGAAGCAACATACGCGGGGAGAAGCTATTGAGCTCTAGGATAAGGCCGATAACATTTTCCATTTACACCAAGTATAAAGTCACCCCGCGCCTGTTGGTCCTCCATTTTATTTCATCTGTCCTACATCTGTTGCTCTCTTCTACCCGACTATATCGTTTGACCAGGGTTCCTTTCTAATACATTGGATAGCTCATTAGACCGATATCTTACACCATTCCTCCTCTCCACTCCCCTTCACATTAAAATCACAATGTCCTCGGTCTTCCGTGCCAGCACACGGCTGCGCTCTGCAGCTCGCCTCCCGGCAGCTCGCGCTCTCTCCACCACTGCCGGTCTGCGTGCATCGGAGAAGTCGTACTTCCCCAATGAGCCTACCGCTCCCTCCGTCTCGGGGACCATCCCCGGACCTAAGAACAAGGCCGCCGCCGCCGAGCTTGACGAAGTCTTTGATGTCCGCAGCTTGAACATGTTGACCGACTACCACCAGTCCGTTGGAAACTAGTATGGCACACCCCCACCCGCCACCAAGACTCGACTAACCTTGCCTCTAGCATCGCTGATCTCGATGGAAACAAGCTCCTTGATGTGTAAGTGACCAGCCGCAAGTCAATTGGAAACAGAGAAGCTGACCCCAGTAGGTATGCTCAGATTGCTTCCATTCCCGTTGGATACAACAACCCCCACCTCCAGAAGATTGCCGCATCATCCGAGATGTCCTGCGCCCTGATTAACCGTCCGGCCCTGGGTAACTTCCCATCCTCCGATTGGGCCCATGTCCTCAAGACTGGTATCCTCCGTGCTGCCCCCAAGGGCCTGAACCAGGTCTTCACTGCCATGGCTGGCTCTGATGCCAACGAGACTGCCTACAAGGCGGCCTTCATGTACTACCGCCAGATGCAGCGCGGTGGCCCTGAGGTCGAGTTCACCGAGGAAGAGCTGCTCTCTACCATGAACAACCAGAGTCCCGGCTCGCCCCAGCTGTCCATTCTCTCCTTCAAGTCTGCCTTCCACGGCCGTCTCTTCGGCTCCCTGTCCACCACCCGCAGCAAGGCCATCCACAAGCTGGATATCCCCGCCTTTGACTGGCCCCAGGCCTCATTCCCCCAGCTGAAGTACCCACTGGAGGACCACGTCCAGGAGAACGCCGCCGAGGAGCAGCGCTGCCTGGCTGAGGTTGAGCGTCTCATCAAGGAGTTCCACAACCCCGTCGCTGCCGTGATGGTCGAGCCCATCCAGTCCGAGGGTGGTGACAACCACGCCTCTCCCGCTTTCTTCCAGGGTCTCCGTGACATCACCAAGCGCACTAACGTCCTCTTCATCGTCGACGAGGTGCAGACCGGTGTTGGTGCCACTGGTAAGTTCTGGGCCCACGACCACTGGAACCTGTCTTCCCCTCCCGACATGGTCACCTTCTCCAAGAAGGCCCAGACTGCCGGTTACTACTTCGGTAACCCCGCTCTGCGCCCCAACAAGCCCTACCGCCAGTTCAACACCTGGATGGGAGACCCAGCCCGTGCCCTGATCTTCCGCGGAATCGTTGAGGAGATCGAGCGTCTTGGCCTCGTTGAGAACACCCGCACCACTGGTGACTACCTGTATGGTGGTCTCGCCCGTCTCTCCGAGAAGTACCCCGAGCACTTCCAGAACCTCCGCGGTAAGAACCAGGGTACCTTCATCGCCTGGGACACACCCAAGCGTGACCAGTTCGTCGCCAAGGCCAAGTCCTTCGGTGTCAACATCGGTGGCAGTGGTGTATCTGCTGTCCGTCTGCGCCCTATGCTGGTCTTCCAGAAGCACCACGGTATGTCAACCTTCTCTTTCCTTGTGTCTAAAAGCCATTTACTAATGTATCTTTCTCTTACAGCCGATATCCTCCTCGAGAAGATCGAGCAGATCATCCAGACCCTCTAAACAAATGCCGGCAATGACCTTTAGAAGTGACCGGGCGTTTTCAAATTGGTTTAATGAGCGATTTTTCCCTTTTCCCTTTTCTTACTTTTCTTCTTTCTTTTGGAGGGGTCATCTTTCTCCCTTTGCTGCTACGACTTTATGTCACTACAAAAATGCCATGCATATTCCTGGACATTGTGCTTGTCAATCGAGTTATGACTCAAACCGAATTATTGGGGCCAGAGTAGGAACATTTACTCTGCAAGCCGTTATCCTATCTTTATGTCACCAGCCGAAAAACTGGAACTATAAACTCCTAAGAAGTAATCCAAATCTTCTGTGTATGCCCTTGTAGTCCAATAAATAATATGAAGAAAAGTAGGTAATGCTTCCCATCCGAAACTCCGAACGACCAGCAAAATTTTAGAAACCACCCTTATATTGTGTGTCTTGATTGAATCGATGGTGTGTGCGCTGTAGGGGTATCCAGAACCAAGACTGTAGGGGCAAGGGTGGGTTCGTGTAGCGTTAAAGACTCGAGGGTAGGTGCTTCATGCATCTTCATCGCCAGTGCTTCCGTCTCGCCTGGAACAAGCAATCGTTAGTATGGCGAGGGAGATATCTTGAAAACAGTAGAATGAGTTCGGGGAGCACGTACGGGACATATTTAATGCCAGAGTCCTCTAGACTGTTGATAATGTATTCCGGAAGCTGTCAATGTGAAAGACACAATTAGCCATTCCGTGCCCGATAAGAGGAATAAGAGAGCTCCAGGGAATTGGAAAAGAGTCCCATTTCCCCAGCAATCAATGCACTTACTGTCCCCGTGACCTTGGTCGCATATGTGCCCGGCACGTAGTTATCCAACCGCTGCCAACGAGCGACCCAGCTCGCAGCCGGATCCCGAACAGCGATCAGGCCTTCAAAGACCTGTGACGTGCATTCTTGGATAGCATCATTGTTTCCACGGAGCTGGAGAGTGCTCTCGCAATTTGGGCAGCCTTCACGCATGAATTTCTGGAGTAATCGGGGTTAGAGTCGCCCGCGGAACGGAGATGGGGGAGTAGGTCTTACATTGTGAATTTGGACGACGGAGCAGACCATACAGGCGCGCAGCGTGCGCTGCTGATTTGGAGGGGCGTAGAAAGACATTTGGAGGAGATATGAGGAAATGAAGAGAGAGAGAAAGCTATGAATGGGAGTTAGCCGTCAAGTCTGGATGGATGCCAAGACTCGTTGCGATCGGGGAAAAAGAACATGGGAGAAGCAGGAACCAGACTCTCTTCTCTCTCTCAATTTTTTTTCTTTCTACCACGCTTTCGTCTTCGTTTTCTTCTCTCTTAGTCTATACTAGATTTAGAGGAGTTTTCTTCTTTTCTGAAACTCGCCTCTTTCTCTTCCGCGTATAATTGTCACCTTTTCCTCCGCACCTTCGCACCGATAATCGCTGTCTCGTGCCCCTCGCGTTTTCTCTCCCCGCCCAAATGGCTACCGATCAAGAAGTGGCCACTGAGCTTAAGGTGCAGGGCAACAAGGCCTTTGCTCAGCATGACTGGCCTGTCGCAATCGACTTTTATAACCAGGCTATTGCCAAATATGACCAGGATCCATCCTTCTTCTCCAACCGGGCCCAGGTGTGTTCCTGACGATCATGGTGGCACATTCTCAAGAGTCGCGTGCACGCTGGTTAGGATTGACATGGCTAACAATCTTCTTTTGTTTTGTGTTACAGGCTCATATTAAGCTTGAAGCTTTCGGATTTGCTATTGCAGATGCCACCAAGGCAATCGAATTGGATCCCAACTATGTGAAGGTCAGTCGGTATTCCTAGCCGGCAGGAGCGACAACTTGTACCGGCAGATGGAGGAGTGTTGGAGATATATGCTAAAATCCATGTTCATCACAGGCCTACTGGAGACGTGCCCTCGCCAATACTGCCATTCTAAGCTACAAGGAGGCCTTGAAGGACTTCAAGGCCGTGGTTAGACGCGAACCGGGCAACCAGAACGCTAAGCTGAAGACTGCCGAGTGTGAGAAGCTCGTGCGCCGCAGAGATTTCGAGCGCGCCATTGAGATCGCAGACCCGCCTTCTGCTTTTGCGGATTTGGACATCGATGCTATCAATGTTGAGGACGACTATGATGGTGTTCGCCTTGGCGAGGAAATTTCGCAGGAGTTCATCGATGATATGATTGAGCGCTTTAAGGATGGAAAGAAGATCCACCGCAAATATGTTTTCCAGATCATCAAGGCTGTCAAGGATCTGGTATACAACGAGCCTACGATGGTGGAAGTTGGCGTGGAATCGGGCAAGAAGCTCACAGTCTGCGGTGATACGCACGGTATGTATTGCCCATGTTCGGCGAGTGAAGCAGTTGCTGATTGAACAGGCCAATACTTTGATTTGCTCGAGATCTTCCGACGAAACGGTGCCCCCTCCGATACTCACGCTTACCTCTTCAACGGCGACTTTGTTGACCGTGGTTCTTGGTCCTGCGAAGTCGCGCTGCTGCTCTATGCTTATAAGTGGTTGCGTCCCAACGGCCTTTTCCTTAACCGTGGAAACCACGAAACCGATGATATGAATAAGGTCTACGGCTTCGAAGGCGAGTGTAAGGCTAAATATAACGAGCGTGTCTTCAAGGTGTTCTCCGAGTCCTTCTCGGCTCTGCCGCTGGCCACCTTGATTGGCGAAAAGTACCTTGTCCTACACGGTGGTCTCTTCTCCGACGACAAAATCAAGCTGGATGATATCCGCAAGCTCAACCGCCACAACCAACGACAGCCCGGCCAAGCGGGCCTGATGATGGAGATGCTCTGGACAGACCCACAGACCGAGGCTGGCCGCGGCCCTAGCAAGCGTGGTGTCGGTCTCCAATTCGGTCCTGATGTGACCAAGCGTTTCTGCGAAAACAACGGCCTAGAGGCTATCATTCGCTCCCACGAGGTGCGCATGGGCGGTTACGAGGTCGAGCACGATGGTCGTTGCATCACCGTCTTCTCCGCTCCCAGGTACTGCGACTCGACTGAAAATAAGGGTGCTTACATCAACATTGGCCCTGAGCTCAAGCTTGCATATGAAGTCTTCGAGGCAGTGCCACACCCCGATATCAAGCCTATGGTAAGATTACGACCCTCTAACATCTACATAATCGAGTTCCCCCAGCTAACTGTACTAGGCATACGCGAATAACTCTATTCTCTCGGGAATGTGAAGACATATTTGATTTCAAGCGCGGCATTGCCCAAGATATCTACCTAGAATTGACGTTCCAAATGTATTTATGTGCATGAATGGTGTATTCCGTGTAGCTCTGAGTAGCTCTGACGTCTCCAACTGTATACTTCACACCGCTTTTGCCCCGCGTCGTCCCCTCTATTCTGCCGTTCGACTTCTTTTTGCCCTCGGTATAGACACATCTTACGTAGCAGTCATGGAATTCGATCCTAAGACCCGTAAGTATTCTTGCTCAGCCATACAATATAATGGACTAACTAGGAAGCCCAATATCTCACCTCCGACAAGTCGAGCTTCGCCTCGATCTCGGCCAACGAGCGGTGGCCCGTCATCATCGTGAGCTTGCGGCAGACAATCGATAGCTGGGGGATCAATTGCTGAATATATGTGACCATTATAGACTGGCGCTATCGATGACCTTCACCGCACGGTTGTAGGTGTCAATGACGACGAGAAGGCCAACGAAGGCAAGAGCATTATTGCCAACTTGGCCAAGTTGAAGTATGAGCTTCAGCATGACCGACAACTTACGTGAGACCTTTCGTCCTCTATGCTAGCACTACAGAGATTTATCTGACATGCCTATTGCGGCTAGGCCCCTGGATGACGACGGACACCCGGATATCGCCTCGTATAACAAGGAGCTAGAAGAGCGTGGAAACCCCCACTGGCATGATGCATCCTGGCTCTATTCAGAGTGCTACCTCTGTACGCCCAAAGCCCCAGTCAAGCGGAAAACGAGAAAAACTACGGCAATACTGACCAGATGACTATCATAGACCGCCGCATGGAATCACTCTTCGCGCTGTCCAAGCACTGGAAGGGCTATGACGTGTTCGCCCGCCAGAAGATGGATACATTCAAGTCGTCCCGTCCTGCCGTACTAGAACTCGCCGCGAGATACCGTGAATTAGCGATAGACGCAGAGTCAGGAAAAGCAAAAGAAAACAAGTCGCCAGAGGAAATCGAGGAGGCAGAGAAGCTTCTCTTCTCAGAGATGTGCGAGATCTGCCTATGGGGTAATGCTACCGATCTGTCACTTCTGACATCTCTCACCTATGAGGATATTCAGAAATTACAGGGCTCCCAGGCACGCAAAGCATCGCAGCAGAACATCATTGTCAACGACCTCGATGCTGCCTTCGAGGCAATGCAAAAGGCACGGAGAGAGAAGAAGGACGGCGAGCGCCGCGTCGACATCGTCCTAGATAACTCCGGGTTTGAATTATTCGTTGACCTGATTCTTGGTGGATACTTGCTGTCCGCCGGACTGGCGACCAGCGTCGTGCTCCACCCCAAGCGCCTGCCGTGGTTTGTGTCGGATGTTACGCCGAAGGATTTCTCCGATCTGCTTAACAGCATGGTCGACCCGCAGGCCTTTTACACAGCAGCCGATGATTCTGGCAAGACCTTCCCTCCTCTTTCCGAGAAGGAGGTTTCCGACGTGCAATTCCTCTTTGAGCAGTGGAGTCAGTTCCATCAGGATGGTAAGCTGATCCTGCGGCCGCACGCTTTCTGGACCACCCAGGGCGGTTACTGGCGCATGCCATCTGTGGCACCGGAGCTGTTTGAGGATTTGAAGGAGAGCGAGCTTGTTTTGTTCAAGGGCGACTTGAACTATCGGAAGTTGGTCAATGATGTAAGTCCGGCGTTCTTTTTTTCCCTTCTTTCGCTTTGGGCTTCTTGCTAACAAAAACCAGGCTCAATGGGACCCCACCACTCCTTTCACAGAAGCCATCGGCCCGCTTGGCCCCAAGTCTGGGATCCGTGTTCTAGCCTTCCG